TCTAGTTTACTTTTTTATAAAATGAAGGGTTTTTGTATAGAAAAATAATTCATTATGCTTGAATAACAAGGACGTATTTAATAATCGTTTTAACAATATTACAGCGATATACATTATGTAAATTGATTGGTAATAACTTTTCCTATTATTATATGATGGTATTATATGATAATTTAAGCAATATTTTTATCGTATATACATATATTATATGTGTTTGTTTTTATAAATATTAACTAATCGATTAATAATCTTTAATTTTAATCAATTATAGAAGTAAACGCAATCAATAAGATGTAAAATAATAAGAATTATATGATTTGGTATAGCTAATTACTTCGATTATTTAATAAATATTTGTAATTAATAATAGTAAATAATAGTTATATCAATTTATTTAATTTATTTTAATTAATTAAATTAGTTAATATTTTCATATAATACTAACTGAATTAAATTAATGTCACCCTTTATTTTATTTTTTTACATAATCGTATAACTATACATTCACATTAATTTAATTAACTAATAAAATGTATTTGCATTTTCCATTATTATTGTTATGTATAACAATTAATTAAAACAGTAGTTTAATTATTAAAAATATTCTATTAAAAAACTATGATTTATTAATTTTATAATTACTTTAAATTTTTTTTATCTATAAAGAAAGATAAATATTTATAATTAAATATAAAGTCTGAAAGTCAGCTATATTTTACAAAATAGTCTTGTATTCCAATAAACAGTAACAGATTTTAATAAAATAATGGAATCTTTTCATACATTTTCCTAATTACTAATATTCTATTTATTAATTACTTTTATTATGACCATAAGGTTTATAAGTATTGTAAATACTGAAATAATTATATAAATGAATATTCTTAAATTAAACAATAGATATTTATCAAATATTCATTTCTCAAATGGTATTAAAAGTAAATTATATTGTTATTACAAATATTATCATACTAAAAATTTACAAGACAATAAAAAATATATTACTATTTAATTTAAGAATACTGAGATAATTCTATAATAAATTAATAAATAATTATATTTACACATTTCTTAATCTAATACTATATTTACTACACATTGCTTTAATAAAAAAATTAGACTCCGATTCTAATTTAAAATGTGTTACATAGTAATTCAAATATTTTTAATATTTGTATTCCTATATATTTTCATTTTAAAATATTATTTACAAAAGAATAAACTAATGTAGAACAATCATTATTTGTCTAGTATTACAATTTATATAATCCATGTGTTCTATTTATCGATAGATGATAAGGTTTTGTGTGATATTTTGTAATTATGATAATGAATAACTAGAGCTTTTAAGTCACTGAATAGCATACTTTTTTAAAATTCTCATAAACAAAAAAATTATTTTATTACATGTTTCATATTTCTGTTTTCTTTAACAATATATTTTATTTTTATACAAACACCGATTAAAGCTAATGAATTATCGTTAAAAGTCTTTTCCTACGTCAATTTTCTTACAAATTATGATGATAGTAACGACGACAATGACGATGACAACGATAATGATGTAAATGATGATGATGTAATGGTGGTGTTGGTATGGTAATAATGATGATGATCATCATGATGATAATGATGACAGTGTTAGTTGTGATGGTGGTGGTGACAGCGATTGATGATGATGGAGATTATGCTGATGATGGTGGTAGTGATGGTGGTGGTGGTGGCGATGATGATGCTGATGATTATTATTATTATAATCATTATGATAACGGCGACGTTGTCATTGTGGTATATGATAATGATTTTAATTATTATTATTATTATTATTATTATTATTATTATTATTACTGTTCGTATTATTGTTAGTATTATTATTATTTATTATTATTATTATTATTACTACTGTTAGTATTATTGTTAGTATTATTGTTAATATTATCATTATTATTATTATTATTATTATTATTATTATTATTATTATCATCATCATCATGATGATCATTTTCATGATTTTTGTGATATTCCTGATAAGATCTTAATTATCTTCTCTACATTATATACATATTTCAAGTTAAATTAACTTTTTCTTATTTTTTAAGAAAATTACGTTGATAATATAATTTGAAATATTTAACTTTGAAATTTACTTATGTAAAACTGGTTTTTTAAATTTATTATTACTCTTAATGAATTTATATTAAACTTACAGTCTTTCATAATCTCGAATTTGTCTATTCATTTACCGTAAGAATAATTTCAATAAATTCTGTATTATTACGTAACTTATAAAAATTAAATTACTTAGTATAAAATTAATTTTTACAATTTTATTTTATTTTTATTATAAAAACAGCTTGTCATAGTTAAACATAGCACAGAAATTTTCAAGATATTTAAACTATAAATACATAAAATATGCTTTTAATTAAAAAATTAAATCATAAGAGGCCAGCTCTCAGTAAAGATTATAAACACCGAGCATCGTTTGAACGTTTTTCTTAAAATACTTTCCAAAGTAATACAGTTTTCAAATATTCATAAAAATACACCGATACTTCTTACAATATATTCATATGCATAATATTTATACATCTATACGATATGTTTACAATGAGTCACACTAAAGCGAAAGATCAACTTAAAAATTATTTCTTAACCATTTTAACAATGAATTATACGCATTTATAGCATTTATAAATCAAATACATCACAATTAACTTACACACGATGATTATTTTATGTACGAAAATTTTAAACATTGTAATGCTAAGATAATGAAAAATAGTTTATTCTACACAACATGTCGTAACTTTATGTAACCCTAATGAGATAAAACGAGACTAATCATAATCTCGTTAATAGTTCATTTCTAAAACGTACTTAAATATTCTTTATTTTTCTAAACATATTATCCTTATAGTTATGTTTGGTATTCACGAAACGTGACACCTGATATGTTATCTTGGTTCAGCAATAAATAATGGATAACTAAAATTAATAATTTTCAATTAAAATATTTAAATACGCGAAACAAGCTTAAATCCCTTACTAATCAGGAGCTATTAACGCGCATTTTATAATTTAAACTTAGCACTATGCTTTTCTATTATTATTCGACATATTTTTGTCGATAACATATTCTTGTCTATAATTATAGATCATGCGACACTTCTAATATCAATATAATATTATGGATAAAATGATATAAAAATTATTTACTTTAAAACTATTTATCCCAATGAAAAGGAAATACAATATTTTTAATGTTATATTCAGTTCAAAATTTGAACCAAACATATAATAGTAATATGCATTGAATTTAATGTATTATAATCTAATTTGCTAAAATTATTATCAACTCAATGGAGTCACTAATATAGAAATCTCAATTAAAAATATATTTTTATTCTTCACAAAAACCTATATATTAACTAAGATAAAAGAATTAAAAATGACTGTTTCATTTTTGTTTTTCTTAAAGAATTAAAATTTAATTTTTGTTCAATTATTAAAATATTGTTTAGAATAACTCTAAATTTCTTATAATTATTACCTGTTTAGATTTTCGCATACACAGGTTGCAATTTAATGCTAGATAAATATTTGATTTAATTTCATGAAATTATTGAAAATATAACATTTTCTAAAATTAATTTAAATATAATTAAAATTGTAACAACATTTTTGCTAAACTCTTTACGTTTATAAATTATTACAAAATAGTAATTAGAAGTGTAACAATGATATACTTCACGAATTTAGACAAGCTGATGCAAAGCAACATCCTATTATTTTATGATATTTTCTATTTTCATTTATGAAATATTTTAATGAAAAAACGCATAAACCATTTATTTGCATATCATGTATTAATATAGAATATTTTAAGATTTTTTTTTATAAAAGTAGAACTTTCTACAAATAATTATTCTTGTTGTAATTTATAAATATTATGAAGTCATCATATTATCATTTATTATATTTAAAAAATAAGCAACTTTAAATGTATTTAGCTGATTAAAAAAAAATTAATTTCTCTACTTTAAATAATTTACGATAATTAATAAAAATATTAAGACATTCAATATTGAAATGCGATAATTCTTGACGAAGTAAATCATAATATAATTTATATATGAAATTAAGTTTTTACTTCATTACTATGTTCTAATAAATTAAATTCAATATTTATAGTTTTAATAATATGAAATATAAATTTTTTATATTATAAAATCTGTAGGCATAATTGTTATACATTTTGCAAGCTTCATAAATAAATGAATGAATGATAATTACTAATTCATTTATGAATATTCAGTTGAGTTTAATACTATTTGAATTTAAATTAACTTTTTCTAAAAGATAATATAATTGGAACTTACAGCCTACATGAAAAATTTAGTTTTAATATGACATTTTTAATTTTTGCAAATAAATATACTTAAAACACTTAATTATTAAAATAATTAATAATGAATAGATATCACTCTAAAATATAATAAAAATTTTTTTATATAAAATTTCACGCTATTATTTTCATTTATAATCGTACCATTAATAAATATTTTTTTTAGTAATGATATGCATATAAAATGTTTGGTTTTAATTATTTTTAGTTATTATATTATTTCTATTACACATTTCTCTATCGTTCATGTACAAGTATACTTATATTAGATATATGTACTTCATCTCTTTTTTTGGTTCTTTTAAAAATTGAAATGAATAGCGAGAATGTTCAAATCTCAGAAGTACACAATATTATGAAGAATGCTTTAATGTTTCGCTGCAATTTGTTAAAAGCGAAGAAAGCTTATAATTATTAGAATTCAGCATCAATTACTTTTGTTATATGATACTTGTTAAACTGTTTGTATTCTTATTTAATTTTAGTTTTTTCTTCGTAATTTATATTGAATTATTATCCCAATACTAGTGAATAATAAATTACCACTTTCATAATAATAATATATCTTTATTTATTTTTTTATATTCTTCATATTTGGAAGCCTGCCATGAAGACAATAGTCTGCAATTTCAACCAATCACAGTCATAAATGAAATTTTATTACTAGTACTTTCGCCATCCATTTAAGTAAAGTATTTACTTATTTTATAATTTTATCTTGAATTCAAATTTAATACATCCCTTGCCTGAAAGGATTACTATCTCCCGCAGCTCGTTGATCTACTTGTTCATTTTTAAACGGATTCGACTTTACTGATCTAATATTTTGTTGCTGGTAATTTACTTGCTCACAACCTGTATCTTGCACTATTTCTTTACGTACATCTTGCTGTGTTTGGTCATACATACTTAAATTTTGTTGATACTGGTTTTCTTGTTGCTCATAACTATAACCGCAACTTTGATTCTCTCGACCATGGTTCTGAGAACTATAATTATCTTCATAATTTTGATAATTTCTATCTGAATGTTGATCTATATTAGTTTCTATATTTGTTGAGCATGTAAGATGATTTCCAATGTCACCAGAAACTGGTCTTTGCTCCTGCAGAATATAAGTTTGGTACTCCTTACTTGGTGGATCTTGCATAAGAATATTCGCTTCATCTTGAAATGGTTTAAAATCATAAATATGCCTAAGGTACATGAGTAATGGCGCATAAAGAAGATTTATAAAAGCAATTCCGATATTAAGAGCTGTAAATCCAATAGCTTCAACAACGCCACCGGCGATAATTGGACCAATTGCATAAGCTAAACTATAACTTATGTCAGCGATAGCATAGATACTACCATAAACCGACACGTATCGTACATCTACTAAGTAACCTAAAGTGGGAAGTAAGGCTGTGTCAATGAGAGCTATACCAAAGCATATTCCGCAAAGTGGAATCATAAGAAACTTATATGAAGTTGAAAAAGGAATGATAAAACAACAAAGTCCTTCTAAAGCTAGTCCGCCAGCGGCCATTAACCATTGATGTTGCGGATATTGTTTTGCCATTTTTACAGTAATAGCGACTCCAAAAACATGTGGGAAAAAAGCAGGAAGCCAAATTATACCTATCTTCCAGTAGTCACGAGTTATATGATCTTCCATCCACAATGAGATTGTTGGTTCTAGAAAAGCAAGTGCAACGTTTGACATCATAAGAGCGCCAGCACACACCGCAATATATGGATCGATGAAAAGCCTCCAAATAGGAATTGTAGGTCCAGTTTCTCTGCGACTTTCTTTTAATTGCTCTTTAACGGGTTTCATAACAAGTAAAAGCATCAAACTGTCCATTAAACTAACAATTGCAAGGATGATAAACGGCATTTCTTTTCCAGCAAATTGATACAAAGCTCCACCAAAAGGAGGTGCGACAAGACATCCAAAGCTTATAAATGCCAATGCGATTCCAAGTGCCTTGGATCGTTCATTCTCCTCTGTAAAACGATCTGCAATCATCGCAAGTCCCGATGTATCGGCAAATGCAGAACCAACTCCTTGTAAACTTCTAGCAAAAAATAGCACACCATAACTTCGACCACATGCAAAAACTAATGTTGCTAAAAACATAATAGAGAGTCCTATCATCATTGGAATATCGTAACCAATTCTATCAATTAAAGCTCCGGAAAACGGATTAACCATTAACTGGACAATGGCTTTTGAAGCAAAGAAGACACCCGTTGCTGAATCTTGACCATGATGTGATGGTAACCCAGTTGTATTTTCTGATATTTTTTCATCAGGAAATGCACCAATGTACTGAAGATAGTTTGGAATAATCGGGACAATTACCATATATAACATATTATCAAGCAAGAGGGCGATACAAACAATAACTAAAATAAGCTTTCTTTGAGCTTGTGGTTCCTGTAGCTTTTCCCAAATAATTGTTTTTACTTCTCCAATTTCGAGATTTATTACAGGTATTTTTATCGAAGACATTTTTATTGTTTGAAGCTACTTACTGATTTAAAGCTTATTATGTAAGTAATTCTATATTGAAAACAGTAGAATGAACTATAATTATTTAGAAAGTTGCTGATCGAAATACCTTTGCGAAAAAATTTCTCTTTATAAAATATTGAAATTATTCATTTGAAATATATATAACAAATATACTTAATTTATTGAACCTTCATATATTCATTTTTATATGAAATTTGAACTTTATTTTTAAGGCGTGGGTATATTCTGCATTCTTTTATGTAAAAACAAATTTAATAATTGAAGAAGTAAACATTTTAATTTCTTGTTGATTTTTGAGGATGATCTCTGATGTTTTGCTGTCGTATGTTGATATTTTGGTAGAAGACGATGATGAGTTAACAGCGTATGAGACGTCGCGCATCAGGCCGAGCCAGGGAAAACCTACAACAGCAGATTACCCTTATTAAAAAGTCATTCAAAAATTTACAACGAATTTTTAAAACAGCTTTTTTATGAAGTAGTGAAATATTATTAAGGAGAAGCCCTAGCCCGGCCTGAGTAGCGCAACTATCTCCATTCTTACTTTACAATACCTGATTTTTAAATGTTTGTTAAAAATTCAGTTTAAATTTATAAGTATTTTGCCTTTTAATTATTTTTTTTATATAAGCCTATGTAAACTAAATAGCAATAGTTTACTTAAATATAAAAAGTGTTGAAAAGCTTTTTATTTGTGTAGCTTGGTGAAGTTGTTCGTAAAGTTAATAAGCGAACCATAGATCATAGGTTTAAAATAATAATACCGAATGAGGGCTCCTCTTGTGTATTTCACATGTCTTTAATTTAAATGCTATGATTGATTATCCAATAATTTTCAGAATTGAACTAATATTGTAAGTAAAAAACATCTTCCTTAATATAAATAATACCTAATATTTTACAGGTTCGCATAAGCAATGTGTTTAAAATATTTTGATATATTATTAATATTAATTTAATTACATTATAAATATAGAAAATTAGGTGCAGTAGTACATCGTGTAATATAATATCTTATATACATTTATTGTTTCCACAGTTATTATAAATGTAAACGTAAACTTAAGGCAAATTAAAATTAAACATAAAACTTATGCTGATTATTTTTACAAATAAATTATTAATCAAAATCGATCGTTATTGATAAATACAGCAAAATTATAACTACTATAATAATATATTCATCAAGTTACACTAGTAAAATAATTATTCAAATATAGCAGATGAAAATAGGATTTATTAATATTGATAAAAATCATTCATGGAGACGATTAATATTTATATAAATTTATATAAATTATTCTTGTTCTTTTAATTACATTTAAATTAATTTCTATTAAATTCCTTTAGAAATTACATTTATAATGTTTATGATTCTTTTTATAACATAATAAAAAATAAATATTATAATAACAAATTTACAAAAAACAAATAAAATTATAAATCCGACTATTTTATTTAAATTATAATATAATGTGTCGTTAATATCTATTTACTGTACCTATTCATTAATTAAAATTAATAATATATATGAATTAATTTTAATGATTTACAATTACTAATTAATTATTAATTGCCAAATAAGTGCTTGCATTACCACGTATTGTAGTAAATTCATCATATGAAAGTTAAATGCTTATGAGATCGCTCTCTTTGTTTATGAAGTACATACACAGAATTTATTAAGCAATACAAAATAAACGTTTAGACGACAATGATAAACAAAATAAAAAATTTATGATATAATATGAATAATGCAAAACGCAATAAATAATAGATATGTAAATATTAATGCAAAACTCACCAGAGTTATAAACAAACTTCTGCTTGAGGGAAGTAGCAAGACGCTGGGGACTTGCGAAGGTTGGAATCCCCGCAAGGAGTCCGCTCAGTTTTGCAGCCACGTCTGGTGGTTGTGTCTCTTCGTTTCTCGAGTCATTCACCGACTCCGAAACATTGCTCAAGCCCTGGCCCTCCACCTTTTCAGCCGAGTCTTCTACCAAACCTGCAAAAATAAACAATAATACTAATAAATATTTAAATGCTTATGTAATATCTGTCTTACCTATTTACATTGAAATTACATCAATTTAAGAAAAGCTTTTAGAGATAAAATTTTTTCGTTAAAATAATTAAAAGAAAAATTTAACAATTATACTCAGTGAAAATTAATAATTTGGACTATTTTTTTTTTATTATTATTTTTTAATTTAATAATTATTTTCGTTGGTTTTTAATGAATAACCATATAAAATAATGTATTGTTAATAACTAATTAGAAAACATTTAATCATCTGTTTAAAATATAACAAATTTTGAAAAGTAACAGTTAATTATTTACATTTAGTTAAAAATTTATTTAAAAATTGTCAAACCGCTTGCTCAGGTATAAAAAATAATATAATTTTTTTCAAAAAACGTGATTCTATTTATAGAATTTGTTATTTGATTTGAATAAATACTAGTCCGATCAAGAGTACTTTAACATTTATAGCTTCAATCGTATATAAGATAATGATGAAGATTGTGACCAAGAAAAAGACAGCCATAGTCTCAGACTATTGAAAATAGAAATGGTAAGAGGAACGAGTTTATGAATGAACGACATAAGTCGCGGTGATACATTGATAAAACAAAATAATACGTGCATAAAAATTAATGAATGCAGTGAGATTAATTGATACGAGCAAATATTGCAATACAATAAAATAACGATAATAAAGAATTGTTTGTTCTTTAGATTTATTACAAAATAAAGCATTAATAAAAGTAATGTTAACAATACGGTCGCTAAGGAACTTGTTTGCTAAACATTTATCGATTAACATAAATTTCCAATTTGATTTAAAAATGTAGGCAAAAAAAATTAAATCAAACAGTTATTGTTAAAAAATATTAAATCATTATATTTTTTATTAATTTTGTAAACTATGTCATATTTTGATAAATAAATAATGTGCGTTTTATTAAATTGAATTCATTAACGAGAAAACAATGATTTTTAAACAATTTTATAAATCCGTTAATTATGTATTATTCTTAAACATTGTTAATAAAGAAAACCCTTAAAAAACATTTAACACAATCAACACCATTAAAGGAAAAAGCTCGAAACCCGCATCAAATCGATCTTAGTTTTCGTGGCCGACCTCGTTCTGCAAGTAAAATTTACCAGGAGCGCTGCAAGAAGCCGTTCTCGAGCATTGAAATCCCAATCGTAGTCACGCGAAATCCCCAACGAGAATTCGACAAATAGATCCTCCCTTTAAATATAATTTTAAAAATAATTATCTTGAACGCGATCTACCCTCGATCTTATAATTGAAGCTCTCCTTAGCGACAAAATACTGAAACGAGCTTTAAATTGTCTAAGGTATAAGAACGAGGTTGCGAAAGTAGTCCAACGATAGATCTTAGAATTAAAATGATACCAGATCCAAAGAAGCACAGATCCTATAATTTTATATATGAAAAAAGAAGAAAATTCAGGAAGCTAAGAAAAAGGTAATTTTAATATTAATTCATGAATAGAAAGAATCTTAATACTTACGCAGACCAAAAGGCTCTGTACGAGCTGGGGCGTCTTCCTTAGGCTGGACGTATGTGTCTCACCTTCGGGATTGCTTTCGAGCGTCTGCCCTCGGAATCATCCCCGCCACTACCCAAGGAAGCTTCCCCACCAACCCCGCAGTAATATTCCGTGTGACGAGCAGCGCCCCCTCCCCCGACGAGGGTGAGCAGAATGAGCCCAAGGGGCGCAGCCGCGCACAAACCCCTGGATCTAGAGGGGGTAGAGGTGAGGGTACGACAACAGTCCTCTTCAGCAGCCGTTCGACTTTTTCAAAAGAAGAAGAGAGAGGGAGCGTTCAAGGCAGGAGGGTGGAGGGACCAGGTACGCTAGCCGCGGTCGATGCTGCACGGTATTTCTGGCACCAGGTCGATAGCTCACCTCGAGCGCCCTCACCTGCACGCGAGCATGAGTTAACGAAAGGAAGAAAGAAAGAGATAGTCAAATAAAGTAGGAGCACTGCCGCGCCACCCCTTTGACCTCGGCTGCGCTTTTTGGGTTTCTGATACGTACGTGTCTATGTGTGAGACTGTTATAGGTAGAGATGTGATTTGTGACGTGTGATAGAGTATTTAACAATTTTTGGGGTATGGTACTGCAATAAAACTGATCTTGTACTATTCGGAGTTTTTGCCGTCTCTCGCATAACTTTTTATATATTTATTTTATAAAAATAGGTTTGTGTATTTAAAGGAAAAAAATTGCTTTTTGCATCCTAAGTACAAAAGGATATCTGAGTAAAAAAGTTTTTCTGAACAATTTGTCTTATAGGAATACCTAAGCTACAGTTATTAACTATGTGTAGTTTATCGATTTCGATATAAATTTTCTATATATAAATTTTCTATATATAAATTTTATTTAATGTAATTGTTCGGCTATTTCTTGCATTTCATGACGTACTTTCCACTGTATTCCACGATTTACTTTTGTACTGTCGTTACACTACTTAATCAAAGGATTTATTATATTTCATTAGTTTATATTTAATTTATAATAATTTTCAAACAATTTGTCCAATATGCATATATAAAATCTCAATGAAAGACTTGATGTTGAGTTTATTAAATAGCATCACTTATTCTTTAAAGAAACGTATTTATATTATTACGTAAAATCAGGCTATATGAATTAAAAACAAATTTAACAAGATCAAGGTATTTTCTAAAAATTTCTAAAAATAGATTACTATTTGTATTGGGATCGTCAATATTAATGAAAATAAATAACTTATCCATTATAACTACTTTTAATATGGATTATAAATAGAATTAAATTCTAGATTCAGATTTTCTTACACATGCAACATTATATTCTGTAATTAATTTTATTTGCCTCTATGAAGATAAAAATATCAGAATTTATTAAACTTGAAATAAGTTATTAAATTACAATACGATTTATAATCTAAACTTTATTTGTATGTGAACTATTTGTTTATACTGTTACTAAGGTTTTCAATATTTTTTACTATATTATAATATTTTAAATAATATTTATATTATTAATAATTTATATAAATTAATTTTCAATTTAGTAAGGTTAGTAAAATAAGTCACTAGAACAACTCGTTTTCATATGCAACGAAATCGGTGATTTCAAGAATATCTGAGTAGTATTGCAAAGATAGCAGTTAATAATCGAAGAAGTTCTAAATAATACTTTTAGATGAAAATTCCCATTTTTCATATAAATATTGTAAATTTATCTACGTTTAATGTAAAATATAGCATATATAAAGTTTTAAAAATATGACAATTAATTGAAATTATAACTTATTTTATTTATATACTTATTGTTGCAGAAGAAAATTAACGATATAAGAAAGTTTTCAATTATACTTTATGAATAAAATTTTAAAATAAACATTCTTTCAAAATATTTTTATAAAACCATACATAATTTAATAAATTGAATAATTAAATTTAATTTACCTCAAAAGACAAAGTCTTTATATAAAAAACGTATATATAATTCAGAGACACATAATTGTTTGCATACTTGTCCTATATTTTTGACTAAAACTTCAATTCAAATTAGCGATATTAAATGTGTTATAAATTGCAATCTTATACAAATTTTAATGAAATATTATTTAAAACATATTAATATGAAAAAATACATTGTTTAAATCTTATCTTATTAAATTATATAAAATAAATTTAAATTAAAAGTACTAATTTTTCAACTTCGACTAAAAAATAACGTTTTAATGAAACACATCTATTTCTTAGTTTATTATTTATTAATAAATTTATCACATAACAATTTTAAAGACAAAATTAAATATTTTTGAAAATAAATATTTATTAATAAATTAATTTTATTTTTACTAAACTCAAAATGATATGAATTTAAAATAGTTTATATTGTAAATATTTCTTAAATTGATAGATTCAGATGACCTAAAGAATTCAGACTTATCTTAAAAAGATTATGACGCATAAAGAGAAGTTTAATGGTTGTGATAAATTATTAAAATAAATAATTTTTAAATTATTCACTTAAATATATTTTTTCGTAAGTTTATAAAAAATTAGAAAAATTAGATGATCAATTAATTAATTAAAAATAGTAGAGTTATATAGCTTTTATGTCCGTTAAGAAATGATAAAGTTAAAAGAATTATTATAATACCATACTTTATTTGTTATTTTTTACAACTGATTCATATAAAATCAAAATCAATAATCATTATAGTTCCTTCAGAAAAGTATATAGATGGCATCTTAATTCTATCAGCATATATTTATTAAAATTATCAATAAAATAATTATTTACTTTGTAATAAGTTAGTATACTCTATTGATTGTCTTTACATTCAATTTGTGGTTATTTTTCAAATGAGATAAATAAATCGGAATAATATAAAATAACTTTTTGTATTATATATTTTCCTAAGTTTAACGAAGTAAATAAGTGTAACATGTTATTTAGAAGCGTGGTCAACATTTCTACAAAAGTTACCATTCTGAAGATGAATATTTAATAAAAAAAATTATCGTAATATAGACTGAATAGACATAACAAGAAAAAAACACATGAAACATTATTCATATGAAAAAGTAAATTCAATTTATACATAATAGTCGTTTTTCAGTTTCTTTTAAAATTGAAATTATAGTATGTATTGAATATATATTATATGAGTATAGTATATAGTGAAAAATAATTAAAAATCAAATTATTGTTTAAATTGACAAGCTGATTAATTTCTAAATGAAGCCACTTGCCACAGTTTCGAAATTTAGAATACAAGCGAGCGCCTCATTGATGTTCCTGCGTAGGAAAGAGATTTTAGAGACAATATTCCACACGTACTCCTCTTCGACCATATCGATCGACCAACATTCAGAAAGCATTGAACTTACTGGATTTTTAAACTCTACTTTTACGTACTATTTAGTCAGGGTCAGCAAAAGTCAGACTTTCTTTTATTAATGCCCGAGTAAATAAGATAGTACCATCTAATAATATTGCATTGCAGATACTAGAAAATTAAAATCACTAAGGTTAAAGAGGCTTTAATTTATCGATAGATTTTACTTTACTGGGATAAATATATATATAGACATATATATAAATTTTTAATTTAAAATACAAATGTTTCAATAAATATGCGTTTAATTAGTATTTAATATACAAAAAATAGGCGTTAAAAGCAAATATATCTATTATAAGATTTTAAAAACGTATTTCTTAAATATTTCATTGAAATCAGCATATATAGTATAAGATGTAGAAATTAAATAGAAATAGCAAGATGTATAAAAAAAATTAAAATACTGTTGATATAACCGTTTTGATATAATTGATATAACTGTTTATATACATAAAAATAAGTAGTGCAAAAAAATACGCGTTAAGATGATATCGTTTTACAACACTTAGCGAGACATGTCAACACATGGTGAAATTAATGAGCGAATACCTGGGAAAAAAACTATTAAACTTTTATTTAATCGTATGTGTGATATTCTCTCTTTTAGCTTATATTATCTTAAAGTAGCTTCAAATAGCTTATAGGTATAATTTTTATTTTTATTTATTTATATTAAATGTATTAATATTAATGAAAATAATTTATCATAGACGACTAAGTTAATATACAATTGATAGATGAAATCTATGATAATATGAAAATGTTATATAAAATAATATTCAATGAAGCGCGTGTGAAAGATATACGACTATGCTGCTAAGTCGGACTTCATGTGTTGACATTATTAATGACAAAAAGATCGACCTGCGACTCATTTCTGTTTCACGACATTGATATGTGAACTTGGCATATTTGCAAATTAAAAACTTTCTTTTTTATGACCTGATTTATTAAACATTATTATGATCATATTTTCTTTGTAAAATATTTGTCTTTATAAAAAATTGTCTTTATTCTTACTCGGAAATGTGAAAATGTCCAATGATATTAAATTACTAAATAACGCTTTTTTAAACTTTTAGAGATTTTAGTGATTTGATCTAAATATCACGATTAATAATAGATTTTTTTAATTATAATATTTATATTTAAAAATCATTTTATCATAAGATAAAAATTTTAATAATATAATAAAAAAGATGAAGTTATTATTATGAAAAATATTATTTAAAGCAAAGAGAGTAAAATTTATATTTAACTATATATATAGATATGTATGTATATAAAAAAATATAGATAACTCGACGATATAGTTTGGATAACCTGGACAAAGGTTTGCATCTAAATAAATGTGCATCAATAAAACTAATAGAAAGATACATTTATTAGAAAATCTATTAAAAAAAAAAAACTTTTTAATAGATATTTTAAACTGACTGTAGTTTACTATTACTTTATATAACTTCTTACAATGCTATTTTTAATTATTCATTGATAGGATATTTTTATTATTCCTGTATGTCTAATTACATGGCAAAATAAATCAATTATTGCGTAAATATTTATAATTTTTCGTATTTCATTTATACAATTAAACATACGTTAAATATAGAAATAATTAAAGTGTATACAAAAGACAACCACTATTAAATGGAAACTATTTGTTATTATTGTT